GATGGAAAGTGCCCGGGGGGAGGTGACTCGCATATGAAAGGGGTGGGGATGCTCGTCGTCTCGCTTAGGGGTGTAAATTTCGGATTTTAGTCTCACTTAGGGTGTTCTAGGCAAAACGCCATTATATTTAGCCGTGAAGGTCTCGTTTAGGGTTGCACACGAAGAAATAGAAAAATATAGAGTTTAAAATATGTATATTTTTAATTCGTTTCAATTTTCAGTTTTTTATTATTGCACACTGTTTACATAAAACAACTTAACGCAACATAAGTTAGTTACTCGATTCATATAATCAAAGTTTTCTATAACATCAATACCTAAAGAAGACTAACAAAATGTCTTTGTCCATTGTTTTACAAGAGTGTAAGACGAAACTTGGCGGGTGACACAAAACGATTATTTGATCACGGCTAAAAATATTCACAAGCTTGTTATTTGATTCTTGCCCTAATACGGAGTTTCAAGAGTTCGTCTTTAAATCACTGTATTTTTGATTTGTCTGTGTTTAACATGGCATCTTTTAGGGGTCAAAAAGAAACCTTTGGCCACGCCCAGATCGATCTCTTAGGGGTTTAATTCAAATTTTCCAACAAGCATCCCCGACTCTTTCATATGTAACCCTCCCCCCCCCGTCCCCCGGAGGGGGGAAGTGAGCTTGTGATGTTGAGCAAACATAAAATGTACACATGAAACTTACACACCATTTATGCCGTTTTTATCAAGCGCGGAATTTTAGCTTCAACAATGAGCGTTTTGTCACTGGAAATAGTTCATTTAACAATTACAGCTGGGAGGTTATGATTCGTATTTATTTCAGCCGGGGTAGATTCTAAAAGCCAAAAGTACCACAACGAACATCTTAACATCGCCAGAGAACTGGGGGACAGGGCTGAAGAAGGACTTTCTAATGACAGTCTCCGCAATGCTTTTTGGAGTCTGGGTGATTTAAAACGAGCCATGAAGTACCACAACCAAAGTCTTGGAGTACGTTCCTTTGAAATGATCTGGATCCAGATCATTGATCCAAGATCACTCAGATCATGATCCATCAAAGGAACAGAAGAATCTCTGGTCACGGATTCATCGGTTCCTTTGATGCACCATGATCCGAGTTATCTTGGATCACTGATCCTGAACCAGATCATCCCAAAGAAATGCAGTCTTAGCATTGACAACAGGGCTGGAGAAGGACGTGCTTATGGTAGTCTTGGCAATGCAATACCAGAGTCTACGTGAGGTTTAAAAAGTATCACAACCAAAGTCTTATTATTGCCAAAGAACTGGGTAGCAGGGCAGGAGAAGTAGCTGTTTATGGCAATATTGGCAACGTTTTTGATAGTCTTGATGATTTGAAAG